TCATAAATTCACGCTGGCTGCTCTTAATTACACTCTCCTTCTCGAAATGATTAATTATTTGAATCCTTTATTATAGATTCCAATACCTTCCCTACCACAAATGGTAAGATAACTGGCCTGTAGTTTCCTGGATTAGCTCTAACTCCTTTAATAAAATGGAAATTACATTCGCCAATCGTCAGTTCATTGGCACGATTCATTTCTCTACAGAGTTCTTAAATATATAAACGAGGAAGGAGATAGCAGAAGCACCAGTAGTTATACATAAATATTTCCTCCCCAGTATATTTAAGGGTCCTTGGGTCCAGTCTCAATAATATGTAAAGCACTTTTATGTGGAGCCCTGCATTCAATTCCTTGCCAGGGCGAAACGTTAGGCAGTTTTCCTCCTCCACACACCTCTGTTTACCTAGCATTGTTAGGCATTTGGCGGATTGCTTTTCTGGGTGCAATAATCCCTTCAAAAAAATATATAATAATTTGGTCACTCAATCCACAACTGTTTGTGGGACACTGCTGTGTGCAATTGGCTGCCGCCTACAAAAAAATAAAATCAATTTATTTTGCAGTACGTTCTGTGAAGTGCTTTGCGAGGTCTCGAAGACGTGATAAGGCAATATTATTATTCAAACTCCTGACATGGGGGCTTCAAGCCATAACCTTCTGAATCAAGGCTGTGCTCTTGACTGAACCAGGTTGACACCATTACAAAATAAAAATCTGTTCCATTTAAACAGCACCAGCGACCCTCATCTCAATGAGAACGGAAAGGAGGTAGAGGGGTAGAATATGAAAATAGTTTCACTGCAAATGGCAAATTGATGAATTCAGATATTAAAACAATCCTGTGGGTTGAAAGTAATCACGAGTGAAATATTAGGATCAGTGTTCAGCGCAGTTAAGTGTCTCCATGTCCATTATTTCCCAGATGTTGCCTTTCTGTAATAGAAAGGTGGTTTGCCATCGTGGAAATAATACTCCTTGAAATATGTGTCCTCGTTGTACCCAGAGCGGTGAAAAGCACTTACTTTGTTATTCTATAATTTATGATGATTTGATATTTTTATGGTTTTGCAAATAATACTTTAACTCCGCAACCTTGCAGAGTCCTAGGACTGTGGAAATGAAAATAATATTTCCACACTATTTACATGCCAAGGTAACAGTGTTGCTCAACTTGATATTCTCAGCCTGNAAAAAAAATCTGGGGAAAGTGGGGGGAGAGAACACAGGATCAAAGTCTTACTGATAATATTCAGAAACACTTTTTATGCTTTTTACCCTCCAACCGTCACTGGTAGTGAACGTGCAACACCATTGTGCTGAAAATAACAATACAAAATAATAATAATTTGGCCGCTCAATCTACGACTGTTTATGGAACATTGCTGTGCACAATTGGCTCAACGACATGACAATGCGTTATATTAAATGCAAGGATTATTATTATTATTTATCTCAGTTTCCGATGTTAATTAAAGCTCACTCTACAGTCAGACATAATTCATCCAAACACACTTTGGCCTGGCTCAGTTTGTAGCTCTCTTGCCTCTGGGTCATAATGGGGTTCAAGCCCCACTTGACCCGGCTGATTCTCCGGTGCAATGTTAGGAAGGGAACGGTGTTAGGAAGGGAACACTTTGGGTGTTAAATCAAAGTTCTGTCTGCCAGTTATTCAGGTTGATGTTAAAGATCCTGCAGCATAATCAAAAAGAGGAGAGTTTTTCCCCAGTGTCTTGGCCAACAACCCCCCAGATAAAATTGGTCATTCATTTCATGGCTGAGTGAATGACCAATATTTGTGGGATATTGCTGGGTGCAAATTGGCTACCACATTCTCCTACAAAATGCACAATCACAGCACTTCACAGTTTATCCTGTGAAGTGTTTCAAGACGTTTTCCTGACATGAAATGCAAATGCATGGATTATTTTTGCTGTACAAAGCTGCGTATAACGCAAGCTTCCATTCATTACGTCTGTTGGCTTAAATGGGGAAGATAGTTTTGGGTGAATAATTTTCTACAAGTAGAAAAGTTGCTACTTCCGCAACGGTGTAGGAGAGAAAGGAGATGTCACAGCCACCATCCCCTCATCTATCATCTTCATGACAAGATTAATGAGACTGGAAACAGTTGAATGGAGAGGCAAACAAAAAAACTGTGCTGTTTTCCAACACATTGTAAGATCGAGCTTGTGTTTTTATAGCATCTTATCGCATCGAAACATCTCAAAGGGCTTTAAACCTGAGTCGAAAGAGAGAAGGATGAAACATTAAACCGAGATCCCGTCTGCTTGTTCAGTTGGACGTTAGAGATCCCATGGCACCATTCGCAAAAGAAGGGAGTTTCTCCTGATGTCCTGGTGAACAATAATCCACATAAAATAATAATAGCAATTATAATCCTTGCATTTGATATAACGCCTTTTCACATCATCGAGATGTCTCAAAGTGCTTCACAGGATATACTGTAAAGTGGATTGACTGTGTATTTAGTGGGCGAAAAGCGGTAGCTTTTGGAGGATTGTTGACCAAGACACCATGACCCTATCACCGCCATCCTCCCCTGGCTCCCTTAGAGGATAGAGTTCAAAATATTCATCCTCACCTCCACAGCCTTGCTCCCCCTTACCTCTGCCCTCTCCCTCCGCTCAGGTTCCTCCCTGCTCAATGTCCCCCGTCTGCCCCACCCCACCATTGGCAGTCCTTCAGCCTGTCTACCCCCATTCTTTGGAACTCCATCCTACAATCACTTTACCTTGCTCCCTCCCTTGCCTCAATCAAGGCCCATTTCAACACCATTCTCTTCTATCACACCTTCAGTCAGCCCCCTCCCTACCCTCCACCCCTCCTGATCCCAATGCCCTGCTTGGGTCCAAATCCCTGATTGTCCAGTGCCTTGGAACATCCTCCCGACATGAAAGGTGCTCTACAAATGTAGTTGTAGTTATTAGCCAGTTGCACACAGCAATGTCCCACAAACAGCCTTGGAGTGAGTGACCAATTCTTTTATTAGGGGAATTGCGGGCCAGCACACCAGAGAGAGAAGCTCCCTTCTCTTTTCAACATCCACCTGAACAGGCAGACAGTGTTTAATGTCTCATCCGAATTAGTCATTCACTTCATAGCTATTTGTGAGACACAGCTGTGTTCAAATTGGTTGCAGTGTTAGCCTACAAAATTCACAGCCTCTTCACTTTAGAATAGTTCCTGTTGGGCTTTTGGGCTTCCTGCTAATGTGAAAGGCACTATATCAAAGGCAAGGATTATTCTATTTATGTGTGCCAGAATTCAGTGCTAGGGGGGATGAGACTATGAAGGGAAATGAAAGGCACAACTAGGGTCTAAAAATTACTCTGAGGTACTGGGAGCCAATTCAGCTTGGCGAGGATGGAAGTTAAGATGTGCTGAGCCTTGCACAGGGAAAAAGCCAGGCGAGAGAATCAGAGTGAGATTTAATGGCTCAATTTAATAGGGGGAGAAAGAGAGAAAGGAAGGTGCTGAGAGAGAGGGAAAAAAATTGTTTAAGAGTTGGAGAAAGAAGTTGGGGAGAGAGACGGAGCATAGAGGAAGAGAGGGGGGAGGGAAGAGAAGAGGGAGAGGGAGAGAGAGAAGGGGGAGAGGGAGAAAGCATAGTGAGGGATTGAGAAAGGAAGGTGAAGAGGGAGGGAAAGAGAAACTGAACGAGGAGGGAGGGAAGGAGGGAGGAGAATGGAAACAGAGAGGGATTGCTCTGACTTTCCCCCATCAATACTCCAATGTGGCTCTGGCCCCCTGCTTGTCTTTCGTCCCCTACACTCCATCATTGGCAGCCGTGCCTTCAGCCACTACACCCCGAAGCTTTGGAACTCTCTTCCCCAAATCGTTCCACCTTGCCCCCTCCTTCCACTTTTTTAGATCATGACTGAAGACCTTCCTCTTCGACGGTGCTTATGGTCACCTCCTCCACCAGTGTTAAGCACTCCTGAGACCTTGCCCCCGGTGAAGGGCGCTATATAAATGCAAGTTATTGTTGTTGTGGGAGCTCCAAATACCCAACATGAGCTTGAAGCTCTCTTCTGACCCAGGCAGGATGACATGTGCTAAACTAACTCGATCAGATTTAATAATGGTGTTCAAAATGATGATGGGTTTTGATAAAGTAAATAGGGAGAAACTATTTCCTCCGGTCGGTAACCAGAGCACCCAGATTTAAGATTACTGGCAAGAGAACCAGAGGGGAGAAGAGGATAATTGTTTTTACCCAGAGAATTGTTACGGTCTGGAATGCGCTGCCTGAAAAGGTGGTGGAAGCAGATCCGATAATAGCTTTGAAAAGGGAATTGGATAGGTACTTAAAAAGAAAAAAAATTTGCGGGGCTGTGGGATAAGAGCGGGGGAGTGGGACTAGTTGATGCCTCTTTCAAAGAGTCAGACCAGGCACGATGTGCTGAATGACCTCCTTCTGTGCTGTAAGATTCTATGATTATATGAATCAGGATGGGGGAAGATTCTGCATGTGATGGATAGCATTATTCTGATCCTGGCATGTTCCTTCTTCCCATACATGGACACACACACACACAGAAACACACACACACACATCCATGCACAAATAACTTAGCCCAAAAACACACAGTCACTGCACTTTGCAGTATATCCTGTAAATCTGCTGATGGACCGTTATTTTGGATTTGGTCCTGGCGCGTTCAGCAGCTCGCACTTGTGCCTTGAGGGAACGGAGATGGCTGATGTACCAGCGGGATTTACGGGAATATGAGGCAGTTCGGGAGGTGAGGGGGGCAAGGGAGTCCAGAATGGAGGAGAGGGAGTTGTGGAGAAAGGAGAGTGAGGAGGGGAGATCGGTCAGTGAGGGCCAGAGGTGTAGGAGTTCAGATGACTCCAGGGCAGTGGAGAGGGAGGGGGAGGATTTTTTTTTCCTTGGACTGTATGTAATGGTGGAGGGTTGGGAAAGGGGAAGGGGTACTGAGGTGTTGAGGGAGATGAAGTGGTGGTCCGAGATGGCTTTATCGACGATGGTGATGTCTGAGACAGTGAGGCCCCGGGTGATCACCAGGTCAAGGGGGTGGGGGAGTGGATGAGGAGGGAGAGGTTAAGGGAAAAGAGGAGGGAGGAGAAGTCGGCAGAGGCAGAGCTGGAGGGGGTGAAGTGGAGGTTGAGGTCGCCTAAGATAAGGAGGCGTTCAGAGCAGAGGGAGAGGGAAGGTAGGAGGGTGGAGATGTCCGAGAGGAAGGTGGGAGAAGGCTTGGGGGACGGTAAACAAGGAGGATTTTGAAGGAAAGCCTAGAGGGGAGGTAGAGGGTAAGGTGTTAAAAGGAAGGGAAGGTTCCGGAGGAGTAAGGGGAAAGGCCGAGGGAGGCCCTCCATGGCCTCGCCCCACCCTACCTCTGTGACCTCCTAAACCCCTACCAACCCGCCCGTTCCCTCCGCTCAGCCGGCTCTGGCCTACTCCACATCCCCCGACCCACCCCACCATTGGCGGGAGAACCTTCATCCACTCTACCCCCATCCTCTGGAATTCCATCCCCCAATCACTCCGCCTCGACCCCCTCCTTAGCCTCCTTCAAAGTCCCACCTCAAGACCCTCCTCTTCGACCATGCCATTGGTCACCCCCCTTCCCTTACCCTCCCTCCCCACCCCAACCCCAGCTCAGGTCTGAAATGCTTGACTCTGTCCAGCGCCTTGGGACGTCCTCCCTACGTGAAAGGCGCCATACAAATGTAACCTTGTTGTTGTTGTTGTTGTAAAGCGCTTTGAGATGTCCTCCTGATGTGAAAGATGCTAAACCAAACGCAAGATTATTATTATTATTACATACACACTCCCACAGTAAGTAACACACACACATAGAAATGTACACAAAAACTCGCTCTCAGAAACTCACACAAATGCTCATCCACACGCAGTAATGCACAAATACCCAGTAAAGGTCACACTTCAGTGAAATGAGGACAGAATGTCTCTCTGATACAAGAATCCAAGAAATGAATAAGTGTCAGGATAGATTTCCGTGGCCCAGAGCACCCGGCTTTAACATCCTAGCTGTTCAACGCTCTCCCTGCTAAACCATTTGAAAATGTGCAACTTGCTCAGTTTTCATTTACTGGGGCTGAACAGATCAAACCTGCGAGTTTAAAAAATAATAATGTCATAATAATGTCTGGCTGAAAGATAAGATAAAGCAGTGTCAACAAATATGAGTTAGAGATGCGTTTTGATTTTTACTTAAGTCATTTTTTTTTGCACTCTGAGCAATTGAGAGTGATTTGTTGTTATTTGCCTTTCATTGATTCACTTGTTCCCCCATCGCATAGGTCACTGGGTTGGTGAGTACGAGAGGTCAGACAAGGTAGAGCTTTCATTTAACCATGGAATGTGGTTACATTGACATTGCAAGAGGCAGTCATACATTCAGTTAGAGTTTAGTGATGGAACAGGCACCTCTGTGATAATTTAATGGACATCCGTTTGGCTGTGAGCCAATTGGAGTCCTGTAGCCCTGTAGCAGTTAGAGCGCCCACCTCACATGGGAGAGGACTTGGGTTTGATTCCCAGACAGGGCAAAACGTAGGCAAGTTTCCTTACTCTGTTTACCTCGCAGTAAGTAGGAGCCTGGTTGTTGGTCAATTGGCAGATCCCTTTTCCGGGATTAATAATCCCTTCAAAAACATCTTTTTTAAATAATAAAAATTTGGACAGTCAATCCACTACGTTTGTGGAACACTTCCGTGCGTAATTGGCTGCCGCATTTCGCCCACAAAATATACAGTCATTTCACTTTACAAGATGTTGTGTGAAGCGCTTTGAGTTGTCTCGAAGTGGTGAAAAGGCGCTATATCAACAGTAAGGATTATTATTATGCATTGCAGACAGCGCGAAGCACTGTCCCAGCGATGGCACTGTTGACTGCCTTGGTAGGTGGTGAACTTAAAACCTTTGCTGCCTGCAACAACTATCTGTTCTGTGTTTCCTTCCAGAAAATGCACACTAGTTGTTTTTGAGTAACTCGTTTCCTTTGTTTGTTGCTGTTTTGGTTTCAGGAGGATGACACCCTATAAAATGTTATTGATAGGACAGACAATTTCGCAGAAATTCCTTTCTGTTGCTCATCTATTTTCTATTACTGTGCTTAAACTGCGCCAGGGCTGAAAGTGACAGTAATAAAGTGCAAAAATATCTGGCTCTGACAGTGAATCAGTCAGGTGAGAAAATGTCTAAGTTGTGAAATATACAACCAGCTCGGAAAAAAAAATTCAACGGTGAAATAAAGGCAAAGGCAAGGTGGTGGACAACGTTAGAAATTAATAAAAATGTAACAGGCTGAGTTAGTTCAGCGACACCTTTGATGCTTGGAGCACTGACTGCAGTATGCGTGTGGCAGTTTCCTATCTCCTCCCTCCCTCCTCTCCTTCCCCAGCACTGCACTGGAATATCAGCCGAGACTATGCGACTTCAAAGTCCTGATGAGGTAATAATTAATAACAATCCTTACATTTGATATAGCTCCTGATCATGTCTTGCAAGAGGTCTCAAAGCGCTTCACAGAATATACTGTAAAATGAATTGATTGTGTATTTTGTGGGTGAAACACAGCAGCCCAATTGCACACAGCAGAGTCCCACAAACAGTTGTGAATTGAGTGACCAAATTATTGCATTTATTTATTTGAAGGGGTTCCTACTCACTGCTCGGTAAACAGAGGCGTGTGGAGGAGGAAACTTGCCTAATGTTTGGCCCCGCCAAGAATCAAACCCAGGTTCTCTCGCTTGTGAGGCGAATGCTCTAACCACTGAGCTACAGGACTCCACTGGAAGTTTGTTAGTGCTTGTGGATATCTACTCCCACGTGGGCCAATGCCTTCAGCAGGAGAATAGGGAACAAATGTAGAGTCTTGTAGCTCAGTGATTAGAGCACTTGCCTCGCAAGTGAGAGACCTGGGTTCAATTCCTGGCAGGATGAAATGTTGGGCAAGTTTCCTTATTCCATTCATCTCTGTTTACCTAGCAGTAAGTAGGAACACGGTTGTTAGTCGATTGGCAGATCACTTTTCCGGGGTTAATAATCCCTCAAATAAAAAAACAATAATTTTGTCACTCAATCCACGACTGTTTCTGGACACTGCTGTGCGCAATTGGCTTTTGACGCTCAGTCCTTGAACATATTCAAGACTGAGATAGATAGATTTCTTATTGGGAAAGGTATTAAGGGATATGGGGATAAGGCAGGGTCAGGTTATTAGTTGGAGTCAGATTAAAAGATCAGCCATGATTGAATGGCGGGTCAGGCTCAAAGGGCCGAATGGCCTACTCCTGCTCCTACGTGTTATGTTATGTTATGGCTGCTGCGTTTCGCCCACAAAATATACAGTCAATCCACTTTACAGTATATTCTGTGAAAAAACTTTGAGACGTCTGGAAGACGTGAAAAGCGCTATATCAGATGCAAGAATTATTAAAGGTGGAGGTATCTTGGGAGTGGAGGTAGTGGGATGGAAAGTGCAATACTCCCTTTACTTGTGAATGATGCTCTCTCTAATTGACCCAAGGAAATTCTAAAATAAACAGCTGCTTTGTGGCAAACTTTGCATTGCAAGGCTGAGAGCAGGAACAGATATTAAATTGAGGCAGAACTTAAGCGTGCTCATTGTGCAGAGAGCACAGGAAATTCACAAACTACGATATATGAAATTGGACTGAATCTTTATACTGTACGTTGGTAGAGAAAAAATGTAACATTCATAAAATCAATGAGGCTTAAGGCAGCCGAGCCCTGCATGTACATTGAGACTACGACTGGACCATGAAATTGTGTGGTTTGCTCGTCATTGTGCTCTGTGAATTTTAAGGATGAGCAGACTTTTTTATTTGCATTTAATTGTATTTGGTGTGTAAATGAAAGGGAGCGCTGTAAATCTTTCCTTTTATTTACTGCTGAATCTAAGCCCAGAGCAGCGTTTAAGAAGGGAATTGGATGTACACTTGAGGGAAAAAACAGCATAATTAAAGGGTGAATATAGGAGAGCCAGAGGTAGATCTAATAGGCATTTTAAGAGGAACTTCAGCACGCCTAGGGTGGTCAGAATGTGGAACTCACTGGGGGGGGACACTGGTCGAACCAAATAGTATCAGTGTATTTAAGAGAAAACATGATACATGGGGGAGAAAGGAACAGAGGGCAAAAGAACCAGAGGGGAGATGAGGAGAATTTTTTTTTACACAGTGAGCTGTTACGTTCTGGAATGCACTGCTTGAAAGGGTGGTGGAAAGCAGATTCAATAACAACTTTTTCAAAAGGGAATTGAGTGTTTACTTCTGAAAAAAAATTGCAAGGCTATGGGGAAAGAGCAGGGAAGTGAGACGAGTTCGATAGCTCTTTCAAAGAGTCCGCACAGACACGATGGGCTGAATGGTTTCCTTCTGTGCTGTAGGATTCTATGATTCTATAATTTTAAGAGGAGAGGGAATTAGGAGCAGTGGAGACTTGTGTGGAGTATAAACACAGACACGGACTAGTTGGATAGAATGACCTCTTTCTGTGTCAAGATGCTCTATGCAACTCTATGTTTTAAAGAGAGAGACCTGAGTTCAATTCCAGGCAGGGAAAACCTTGGGCAAGTTTCCTTACTCCACACGCCTAATAATAATCCCTCCAAAAACAATAATAAATTGGTCATTTTCAATCTACGACTGTTTGTGGGGCACTGTTGTGCGCAATTGGTTGCCGCGTTCGCCCACAATTATACAATCAATTCACTTTACAGTGTGTTCTGTGAAGCGCTTTGGGACGTCCTCCCGACGTGAAAAGCGCTATATCAAATGCAAGGATTATTATTATTATTATTAAAGCTCCAAAATGCTGCAGAGACACTAAAAAAGAGAAAGGACAAACACAATGGGGCCGAATGGCCTTCTTCTGTGCTGTAAATTTCTATGCGGGAGAAAAGAACAGAAGGCAAAAGAACCAGAGGGCCGATGAGGAGAAATTTTTTTAACGCAGTGAGTTGTTACGTTCTGGAATGCACTGCCTGGAAGAGTGGTGGAAGCAGATTAGATAATAACTTGATGGTTGTACCCCGTGTGAAGGGCACAATATAAATGCAAATTGTCGTATGTACGAGGTGGAGGATGAGAAAAGAGTCTAAAACATTGTCTCTTCTTTCAACAGGAAGAAGACCTGAGGAAAGGGGGAGAAGCCAAATACGCACATTTAGGGGATGAGCTGCACGTGCTGATTGAGGTCTTTGCCCCAGCGGGAGAGGCTTATTCCCGCATGAGCCATGCCTTAGAAGAAGTGAAGAAGTTCCTAGTTCCCGTGAGTCCTCTTTGCATTGTTACAGTTATAGTCTGCCCGAGTAACAGTCTGGGATCCGCAAACTTGTTCAGTGTTTGGCATCCACTCAAATCCACTCAAAGGGCAGGAGCAGGAAAATCCAATTCCCACCAAAGCACTGGGGGCTGTTACTACCATTTTTTGGAGGGGAAATTCAACCCGGATCTAGATTTACTCTGATTTACTTAGCATTTCCAAGTTTCCAGAACGTGGCTGATTCTTAACAGTGAAGCCGCTTTCTCTCTCCAAAAGAAAACAATTACAACAACTTGCATTTGTATAGCCCCCCTCACACAGGATAGCGTCCCAGAGTGTTTGTCAGTGAAACCCCGAGACAGGGGGAGGATGAGAGGTGACCGAAAGCATGGTCTGAAGTATTAAGAACTGCTTTGTCAGCCCTTGACTGTATTAATATAAACTCCGATTCAACAATGCTCCCAAAGTCCCATTCTCAAAATGGTTGGGTCCACATCAGCCTCCAGTATTCTGCCTGTCACCATACTTGTTGGTAGCAATAGTGGGGGCACCCGCCATTTATGCTGCACTTTCACAAGCTTAGTCTTAGGCAGAAAGGAAACACTGCACTTCGCAATCCACCAATTGCTCTCCCACATCACTAACAACTGCAACAACTTGCATTTATATAGCGCCCCTCGCTCAGGGCAGTGTCCCAGAGCACTTGGCAGTGGCAAAGCTCGACTGAGCCGGTGGTGGGGGATAGGGAGGGGGGGAGCGGGAAAAGTGACCGGAGGCATGGTCAAAGAGGAAGGTCTTCATTGAAAGCAAAGGTCAGCAGGCAGGGCAAATGTCGGGGCAGAGGAAAATCATGTGTAATCATCAGCTTCTCCAATCCCTACCTCTGAATGTCCAGTTGCAACAGATAGGTCACTAGTTCTCATCTCAGAGAAGTTAGTGAGTCTTCATAGTGATACGTTATACCACTGAGAAACAGTGGAAATTTTCTAGTTTACATAGAATTATAATAATAATCCTTGCATTTGACATAGCGCCTTATTACTTCTTCGAGACGTCTAAAAGCACTTTGCAGGATATACTGTAAAGTGAATTGACAGTGTATTTTGTTGGAGAAACACAGCAGCCAATTGCGCAGAGGCAGTGTCCCACAAACAGTCATGGATTGATTGATGAAATTATTATTATTGTTTATTCTTTTTTGATTGTTACCAATCGACTAACAACCGGGTTTCTATTTACTGCTAGGCGAACAGAGGTGTGTGAAGTAAGGAAATTTGTCCAACATTTTGTCCTGCCTGGGAATCGAACCCGGGTCCTCTGTAAAGTGAATTGACTATATTTGTGGGCGAAACGCAGCACTCAATTGTGCACAGTAGTATCCCACAAACAGTCGTGGAGTGAAGTGACCAATTTGTCATTGTTTTTTTTTCTTGAGGGATTATTATCAGGAGCGTGTAGTAAGGAAACTTGCCCAAGGTTTACCCTGCCGGGAATCGAACCCAGGGCTCTCGCTTGCAAAGCGAGTGCTCTAACCACTGAGCTACAGGACTCCACTCTATATACTGATATGGCACCAAAACAGGCTATTTGGCCCAACTAGTTCATGCCCTATGGCCTGCAGGCATGAAGGGACCCACCAAACATTTGCACTAGTCTAGGTGAACCTGTTTCAAATCAATGTTTTGTTTACAGTAGTTACTGAGTGGCAATGTTTATTGTGTGGCCAACAATCCAAAAATATTCAATCGCGAAAATTTATTTTGGTGGCCGACCAAAACGGTTTGCCACCACTCCCCTATTGCATAACCCCTATATCCCCTTTTCCCTCAAGTTGCCTTAAATTTCCTTTTAAATACATTCTGCTCTGCATCCTTGGAGAAGTTCCATTTCATACAATACAATACAAAATTACATTTGTATAGCGCCTTTCATGATGGGAGGACATCCCAAGGCGCTGGACAGTGAGGGATTTGGATCAGAGCTGGGGGTCGAGATCAGGGAGGGTGGGAGGCAGGAAGGGTAGGAGGGTGGCTGAAAGCTTGGTCGAAGAGAAATGTGTTGAGATATGCCTTAAAGGAGGCAAGGGAGGGAGTGAGCTAAAGGGAATGTGGGATGAAGTTCCATGGGGTGGGGGCAGAAAGGCTGAAGGCCCGGTCGCCGATGGTGGAGTGAACCGGACGAGGTACGTGGAGCAGGCCAGAGCCTACTGAGCGGAGAAGCGGACAGGTTGATATGGGTTCAGCTGGTCGCAAAGGTAGGGAGGGGCAAGGCCGTGGAGGGACCTGAAAGGGAGCACGAGGATTTTGAACTCTATCCTCTGCGGGATGGGGATCCAGTGGAGCCGGGCACCTACTCCCTCCCCCCGGCTCGGCATCAGGCTCCACCACTGTTAAACGCTACAAGATTCTGCCCCACGTGATGGGTGCTATATAAAAGCAAGTTGTTGTTCTTGTTCATCCCATCTATACTCAGTAGTAAAACAATGGTGAAAAGTAGAGATTCCTAATTATGTTAATGATTCCTACTTTTGGTCAATAGATGAAAACCCTGGGGAAATTTTGCAGATAACATCAGGTTGAAGTGTTTATTTGAGTCTGAAACAATCAGTGATCCCTATATGCCTCCAGCTGCAGTATTTCTGCCATCTATAACCGTAAGATTAAATTTCACACACAAAATAAGCTGGAGAATCAATGGGCAAATAAGCCGGGATCTTCTTGCAGGAGATAACAGCACAGCACATCTCGGTCACAGTCACGTGATGTCTAAAACCATCCTCGTTGCTTCGGTGACATTGGAAGTGGCGTTCTTGCCCCTGCTATCAAAGTGCTGTAAGATGCCTCTCACCTGCAAAAACTGGTGACCTGTCAAAGCAAAGGCCCTTCACATCACCTCCAAAGAGAACTGAAACATCCTTTGGATGTAACGGTTCTCAGTGAGGGGAAAAGGGATGCAAATGATTTATTGAATTACGGATAGCAAGGAGTGTGCAATAGGGCTACAATGTACTCTATTAGGTTCAGATAGGATCGCAAGAGAGAAACACTCTACACGCAAACTCCGATCTATAATTTCTTTTTTGCAATGTACACTTAGAGGCTCAATAAGATTAAAACAGTGAAGAGCATGCACCGGTTCTGTGATAGGGAGACAGTGGTGTGATAGGGATACTGATATCCGCAAAATGCTTCACAGGATTTTACTGCAAATTGTCGTAACTGTATCTATAGGCAAACATTGCAGGTAATTTATTTATTATCTGGGAAATTGTTAGTCACGACTCCAGGAAATATTCCTTTGCTTTATGAATAGTACCACTATACACTCACCTCAACAGGCAGGAAGGACATCGGTTCAACATTCGTTAAGAGACTCGTCTTTGTATTCGTGGACTATGAGCTCAAAGTGGGGCTTACATCCACAACCTTCTGATTCAGAAACAAGAGTACTAATGCAGGGCAAAACGTTGGGCAAGTTTCCTTACCTTCGCCCACAAAGTATACAGTCAATTCACTTTGCAGTACATCCTGTAAAGCGTTTTGAGATGTCTCGAAGACATGATAAGGTGCTATATCAAATGCAAGGTTTATTATTATTATTACTCCACATGCCTCTGTTTACCTCGCAGTAAAAAGGGAACCTGGTTGCAAGTTGATTGGCAGATCGCTTTCCCGGGATAATAATCCCTCCCTTCAAAAGGTCAATCCACGGCCGTTTGTGGGACACTTCTGTGCGCAATTGGCTGCCACGTTTCACCCACAAATTACACAGTCAATTCAATTTACAGTATATAATAATAATCCTTATAATCCTTGCATTTGATGTAGTGTTTTTCATGTCTTCTAGACGTCTCAAAGCGCATCACAGAATTGTAAAGTGAATTGATTGTATATTTGTGGGTGAAACGCCCACATCCTGGAAGCACTTTGAGACGTCTCAAATGCAAGGATTATTATTATTATTATTACCAACTGAGTCAGGCTGACACCCGATGGAATGCATTGAGAACCATTGCAGTTTTGACCCAATATTAAATAAGATGATCAAATTCTGAATCTTTTTTTCCTCTCTTTTATCGAAACTGTTTCTCTGACGTCGGGTTTATCTTGGATATCGAGAAAAAATCCTTCCTTTGTAAGAGACGTTAAGCCAAGATCCCATCTGCCTGTTCAGGTGGATGTTAAAGATCCCACGGCACTATTCGAAATGAGAACAGAGTTTCTCCCGATGTCTGGACCAGCAATCCTCCAAAATAAAAAAAAATTGGTCGCTGACTCCATGGCTCTCTGTGGGACACTGCTGTGTGCAACTGGCTGCTGTGTTTCACCCAGAAAATACAGTCAATCCGCTTTACAGTATATCCTGTGAAGACTTTGAGACATCTCCTTCTATTCCAAGATAATCTTGGAGGCCAAGAACAATCCCAGGCTTTTCTTCTCCACTACCAACCAGTTCCTCCATCCACCCTCTCACGCCTTGCCCATCCTCTCCCTGACTCCCGCTGAAAGGAGATACTGGATTTCCTCGAGACCAAAATTGAGGGGATCCGTTCAGCCACCTCTGCCCTCCCAACTGCCACCCCCTCACCATGTCTCCCTCACACTCTGGCCCTTACCCATGCCTCCCTCCACACCTTTGAACCTGTTTCCCCCTCCTCTCTCACCACCATCATAACCGCATTAAGCCCACCACCTGTTCCCCAAAACCCCATCCCTACCACTCTCCTTACCTCCCGGCGTCTTGCTCCTTTACTCTCAGACCTCATCAATCTCTCCCTTCTCATCCCTGCTCACTACCTACCACCCCATCTCCAAGCTCTCTTTCCTTTCCAAGGTCCTTGAAAGAGATATTACTTCCCAGCTCCACTTTGTCCCCTCCTGCCACTCCCTTTACGAACCCCTCCATTAGGTTTCCGTGCTGTCCACAGCCCTGGTCAAGGTGACAAATGGCATTCTGACCATTTGTGAACAGGGCTCCTTCTGCCTCCTTGCCCTCTTTGAGCTCTC